TACAATAGCCAAGAGTTGGAACCAGCCCAAATGTCCATCATCAGATGAGTGGGTAAGGAAAGGGCGGTATATCTACACAATGGAATACTACTCAGCTATAAGAAAGAATGAAGTACTGCCATTTGCAACAACATGGATTGACCTAGAGAGAATTATATTAAGTGAATCAAGTCAGGCACAGAAAGAGAAATACCACGTGTTCTCACTTATTTGTGGGAACTAAAAATAAATAAATAGGGCTGGCCCGGTGGCGCACTGGAGAGTGCGCCGCTTGGGAGCACAGCGGCGCTCCCGCCGAGGGTTCAGATCCCATGTGGAGACCGGTTCCTGCTCACTGGCTGAGCGCGGTGCGGCCGCAACACCGAGGGTTGCGAGCCCGTTGCCAGTTCCCGGTACGGGCACGACACCGAGGGTTGCGATCCCGTTACCGGTCAGTAAAAAAGACAAAAAGGAAAATAAATAAATAAAAATAAAAATAAATAAATAAATACACAAACAATCGGTGGGGGGGAGGGGAGAAGATACAACAGTTACAAGTCCTTGAAGTTGATACAACAAATACAAGGATGAAACACAATAATCAACCACATTGTATATTGACAAAATAAAATTAAATTAAAAATTAAAATAAAAAAAATGGATTATTATTTTAAAACTATTTTTATCTGAAAAATACAGTGTAGAGGACAGAAAAGGAAAAAACTGCCTATAATTCCACCACTCAAACACATCCAGTTTAGGAATTTAGTGTGTGTTTCTTCTAGTTTAGTTTATTGGATGTTAAGAATAAGGGTTTTTTGTTTTTTCAGGATTACATAATATAATAATCATAATATTTTGTATTTTGTGTTTTTGCTTAGCATTAGAGCATAAATACATTTATATGTTATCAATGTTAATGCATTCATACTAATCTATTAGGTAAATGTGTATCATAGCCTATTTAACCATTCCTTTATTGTTGGATATCCAATCTGCTCCTAATTTTTGAGTATTATAAGTAATGTATGCAAAGTATGGTTTTTGTGCAGTCTGTATTTAGGATTGTTTTCTAGGGTGCACTTTAGCCCTGAATAGGTTTCTTTTACTACTTTGGCTATCAGAGAGCTAAGGACTAAATTTGTGATAGTCTTGAAACCAGTGTTCATTATTAGTCTTGTATCAGCTATCTGGCTTCCATTTTTTGTCCTCTTTGTTTTGTTCTCTTGTTATTTTCTTCCTAAACTGCTTCTGCTTCTTTGGCTTTTGCCCATTCGGATCACTGGAATAGCTTATTCAAAGTAGTCTCATGTTTTTTCTTCCTGTTATTTAGATCTAAGCCCAAATATTATTTCCTCAAAAAGGACTTCCTTGACAAGCCAATTTAAAGTTCACCTTCCACTTCAGTCATTCAGTATCACCTTGTTTTATCTTTATAACACTTTTCACTATCCGGCACTATCTTGTTTGTTTGTTTACACACAACAGTGTAAGCCCCTAAGATCAGGGACATTGTCTGTCTTGCTCACCACTGAATTTCCAATGCCTAGATGAATTCTTGATGCATGGTAAGTGCTCAATAAATATGTTTTTAACTAAGTGACTCTATCTTACATTATTTCTATGTATTTTTTTCTGATTTCAAAAATAATCAATGCACTTATAATGAGATAGCAATAACAGAGTAGCATGGTAGAACTAATACTACCATAGACAAAATCAAAAGCAGGCAGAAAAGCAGAAGTCAAACTGCAATGGGTAAGGTCAGGATTTTTCCAGCTTCTTTCCTAAGGGCACTCATCAATCTACAGGCTTACTGGCTTGAAGAAGTAGAGAACAGTTGTTTGGGATTGGCAGAACAGCTAGAAGTTAGGGGGAAAATACTTAAAGGGAGAGAGCCACAGAGTGGGTGCGTTTCAATATCAGTGTATATAATCTGCCCAGATCCTTGAATGACTTCTAAACTTTGCAAGCAATGGGGAGAGCACAGTGGCCCTAACGAAAAATCAACAGTTGGCATTTGAAGGAGCTGAACAGAGATTTCAGTTGCTACAGACAACAAAGGAGACAGTTTATTTAGAGTGTGAGTCCAGACAACGTAACTGCCATTAAACAAACAAAAAACCACTCTTCAGAAAAGCATAATAGAATCCAGAATCTCTAAAATGTTTACTGTCCAATTAAATATCAGTAGACATGCAAGAAAACAGGATAATGTGACATATACTTGAGGAAAAAGGTAGTTGGTAGAAATGACATTGAGATGGCCCAGATGTTGCTGTTAGCAGAGAAGGACTTTAAAGCACCTGTTATAAATATGTCCACGGACTTAAAGGTTTGCCCATAATTGATGATCAGACAAGGAATTTCAGCAGAAAGAAACTTACAAATAAATGGGAATTTTAGAGTTGTAAAGTACAATAAATGAAAAGGTTCTGGAGAGGCTTGATAGCAGATTTGGAAATAACAGAAGAGTCTGTGAACTTGAAGATAGATAAAAGGAAATTATCCAATCTGAAGAAGAGTTTTAAATATAATT